GGAGGGGAGGAGGATGGGGGGGCGCAGGAGGGTTGTTTGTTTGCGGTGATTTCTCTTGATTGTTGACTCTTGACTCTTGACTGGGTTGGGTTGGGGGTTGAGGTTGCTTTTACTGGGAAGCTGAAAGGAAGGGGGGTCTGGGGGTTCTCCCTTGATAACTGTTATATTATATGCTGGATTTGGAGTTGATGGTACTGGGAAGCTGAAAGAAAGGGGGGTCTGGGGGTTCTCCCCCAGAACGTTACTTTATGGCTTTGACTTGGGGTTGAGGCTACTGGGTCGTGGGAAGGGAGTTTGGGTCTCGAGGGGTTTACGTGGGTCGGGAATGGAGTTTTGGGAGTCATTGGGAGGTTCAGTGGTATCGTTATGCATCAGGAGTATGGTGGATGGTTGTCATTATATCTATATCCCCCTGCCAGTCATCATTATGGATTTTGCTTGGCATAAAGCCTCAGATCCGGTTGATGTCCACCCGCGTCCGTTCGTACAGCTTATGACTGACTTGCTTCTGGTCTCGCTCCTCCGCGCTGATCGTCCGTGGATGGATCGCTAGCTGGGCGTATGTCCCGGCCGCGCGGCGCTTCGACAGCGTCCCCGGGTTGATCACCGTTACACTCTCCACCACCTGTCACGTAGTCAGTAGCTAGTCCATCGATCAGAGGCAAAGGGCGGCGCACCTTGACAAACGGAGGCAGCATGCTCGGCACAATCAACACGTCCGGCCGCACATTCCACCACTCCCCCAGCTTCGAGTAGCTCACGTCCAGCATCGCCCCCGTCGCCAGCCCGGTCTCCGTCCCCGGCCGCGGCAGCAGCTCGCGCGCCGTTGGGGGAAACATCGGGTGGAAGTGTCGCTGCTCGATCAGGTATTTCGGCAGCCGGCTCAGCAGGTTCCCCTCCTTGGGCCTGCCGTGCAGCACCTCCTCGCGCCGCAGCTCGTACAGCACGTCGTGCGAGCACAGCCCGATCACTGTCTCGTTCAACGACAGCGTCACCGGGTTCGACACCATGCGCGCCTGCTTCGGCAGCCCCAGCTCCTTCTTGGGCAGCTGCTCCTGCGGCCACGCGACGTGCTTGCTCACCGCGTCGCGCACCGACGGCACCAGCACGATCGTGATGCTGGGCACCGCCTGCGCCAGCCGCTGCAGCGGCGCGGCGATGCAGTGCCGGAACACGGTCGTCAGCGTCGCCGTGTCAGGGTCCAACCCCGCGATCTCGGGGAGGTCGAAATCCCCCGACGCCAGCAGTGGGTGCTCCACGTCGAGGAACGGCCCCATCAGGATGACCCCGTCGGCGTAGCTCTCTGCGGCCTTGCGGCAGATCTCTTTCAACGGCTCGAAGGCGAGATTGTCGTCGGCGGTGTACGGTCCCGACGCGAGGAGGATGTTGAGTGGAGAGGAGCCGCCGGCCGCCTCGAGTCGCTCGTTGATGCTTTCGATGTTGACAACGGACGAGGCCGCGGGCGGCAGCAGCGGCGTGGGCAGCACCTCTTTCACGGAGAAGTAGTTCCCGGAGGCGTTGATCCCGCGCAGCGCCACCATCTGGCCCGGGAAGAAGTTGGCTGAGGGGACGCCGTCGAGCTTCAGGGGCACGCGCACGCCGGCGCCCGTCCGTCGCGACGTCTCGAGGACGAGCGATGCCGGGTTCAGCTTGCCCTCCATGCTGTCAGATGCGATGCGGCCCACGGCCACAATCTCGCTCGTGCTTTGCGTCGCCGCGCTGCCGAATGTGATCTCGTCGGATTCGTATTGTTTCTGGAACAGTGCGGTGAACTCGTCGATCCGGTCGTCGAGGATCTCCGAGGCCTCCGACAGGCGCATTGCCATGGGCTTGTAGCCGAATTTCTTGAGGTCCGTGTTCGCCGTCGGCTTGATCCGCGCTTCGGCGTACGGGGCGATGGGTGTTTCGGGGAGGGGGAGGTGGGAGTTGATCGTTTCGAGCGTCTCGCCGGCGTTCTGCCGCTCGCTGAATGAGATCGACCTGTTGTGCATTTTCACCCCGCATCAGCAATCTGTTTAGTCTCTGTCATATGCGCGCCACATACGGGAGTGCGTCGCCATTCGTCGTCCTGACTCCGGTGTTTGTGCTCATGGGAGAACCATTCTGGTTCGTCCGTCCGATCTTGTTCATCGACGGCGACGCGAAATCCGACTTGCGCTTCGCCGGCGTCCGGCCTTGGGATCCGTTCGGTGTGAGTCCATCTAACCTGAAAGCGCAAGCTGTTAGAATCAGGCCGTGCGAATTAGGATGGCAGACTTACATTCCGAAAACATCGGAGGTGTTGGCAACCCGCGGGGTCGCAGTGACTGCCGTTCTTCTGTCTGTTTGGCGCCCAGCTCTGCCCCGCGATTCGCGCTCGAGTGTATCCTGAACATCTTTCTTGAATAATCGCACAGTCTCCAGATCCAGCTTCAGCTCATCTGGCCCCATCTTCAAACAGTAGGACTCCCATTTGTAGAAAAGCTCCTGCGCGGAGATAGCGTGGATGCGCAACAGCGACTGCAGTTCGGCCAGGACGTCCTTGGGAAGTCCATTGGGGGCAGCAGCTGCGAAGAGCTCGTTGAGCTCTTCGGTGGTATCTGCCATTATATCGAGTAGATGTGGAGACCAGCGAGTTACAGTCGCGAAGATTTTGCTTGGTACCTAGTATGTTGGTGATATCTCCATCTATTCATTAATCAATTAACGGAGGGTGACGCGGAGGACGCGCGTGTGGGACGCGGAGCGGAAGTGGAAGCTGACCGCCTACTGTATTCAGCCAGACAGCAGGACCGCCCGGCGGCGGTGTGCATCTCCGGCGGTGTGATGAGCAGGAGATTATTTGCAGGAGGGCGATCTGCCGGTGGGCCTGTCGATCGAGAGATTAGTATTCCTCGAGTAAGTTAAGTATTATCCCGGCAGTTGGCCAGCTGGTCCATCAGCTTCTCTCGTTCATTGTCTGAAATTTCCCCTTTTCTACTCGTCTTTGAGTCTGCCACCATCTTTGCGCCAAAATACTAGCAAATACACCTCACCAATCCATCAATTCATCTTGCATAAACGAACCGCATCCCCCTTTCCCGCACTATGAGCGCCGCCTCAGAAACCCAAGCTGCGCCTGCTGCTGCGGTTCCAGCTGTCAACGAGCCAGCTCAATCACAGACAGCTGGATCCAATCCTGCCCCTGAGACGCCCGCTGGAGCTACCGAATCCACCTCCGCGAAGAACATCGAGCTCGAGCTGCCCATGTCGGCCGCCGACGGCCTCATCCAGAAGCCCTTCGCCCGCCCCTTGGACACCGCAAAACCTACCCCGCCAGCTAAACTCCAACCTGACCAGCAAGCCAAGTACAATGAAGTCTTCAAGACGGTCTCCGAATGGACTGCCCTTCCCACGACATCGGCCAAGAATGCCCCCACGGCCCCTCTGACCGACAGTGAACGCATGTTCCTTACTCGCGAGTGTATCCTGCGCTACCTGCGCGCAAGCAAGTGGAATGTGTCCGAGGCAACTACTCGCCTGCAGCGCACTCTCACCTGGCGCCGGGAGTACGGGGTCGAGAAGTTGACGGCCGATTACATCTCCATCGAGAACGAGACCGGCAAACAGGTCATTCTGGGGTATGACATTGAAGGGCGTCCCTGCCTCTACCTCATCCCGTCGAAGCAGAACACGGAGACGAGCGATCGCCAGATTGAGCATCTGGTCTTCATGCTGGAGCGCGTGATCGACCTCATGGGCCCTGACCAAGAGACTTTGGCGCTTCTCGTCAACTTCAAGGAGACCAAGTCCGGCCAGAATGCCAGCATTGGGCAGGCCAAGCAGACCCTCAACTTCCTGCAGAACCACTACCCGGAGCGCATGGGTCGGGCGCTCGTCATCAATAGTAAGTGACCCTTTCGGTGGGTGGGCGTACTCAATCTGACCACTTGGATCACCCAGTGCCGTTCCTCATCAACGGATTCTTCAAGATCATCACCCCGTTCATCGACCCCCAGACCCGACAGAAGCTCAAGTTCAACGAAGACCTGCGCCAGCATGTGCCGCCGGAGCAGTTGATGAAGTCGATGGGCGGAGACGTCGAGTTTCGCTACGACCATGCCACCTACTGGCCCACTTTGAACCAGCTAGCGGACCAGCGCCGAGCCGCCTACACGGAACGGTGGATCCAGGGTGGTAAGCGCATCGGAGAGTTCGAAAACTATCTGAAGACCGGCACCAGCCCCAGCCTGGCACAGTCCGAAGGAACGCCCAATGGCGGGGCGGGTGAGACGCAACCCACCGCTTAAAGCATTGCCAACTCTATTCGAGGCGTACACGCTGTTGCTGGCTTGGAAGGCCTTTCTCCGAGCATCTTACAGACTGCCTGAGTGCGCCAATCCCCGTAAATAGATATTGTCTTTTCTGCATTATACCTGAATTTGGCGCGATTTGTACCCCGAATCTCTATGGGTGCCGGGGAAAAATTCATCATCATTTGTCGCAATAGATTTATAAGATAGACTTAAAGGATCACATGGTTATAGGTGATTCTGATATCATCCATGATAGGTCTATCCACTTCCCCAACCTGCACCAAGAATCACGTGAATGATAGTGGGGCACCTATAGCCTTAGGCATCAATATGATAGGAAATGAAGCATCTTCGGTGATAGCGGGGAGGGGTTCGGATATGGAGTCGCAAAGGACTTCAGCGGTCTCTTGGGAATGGAACAAGACAAGACATTCTAACAGTGGAGCAACTGCATAATTTTCTCTGTCCGTCAGTCCTGTCAGCCAGCCAGGCGAAATAGTCTACCACCAATGTACTGTACATACAGGTGATGCCCGAGGGGTCTGAGAGGTAGGATGGATCGGTCAACAGGTACTTTGTGTCGGCAGAGACATCATTCCAGCTGGAGGGTTTATCAAGTGATCTCTCGAGTAACTAGGACTAGGTTAGATTTATTATCAATCCTTCTCCCTCGGCTTCCTAGACAACCACCACTTGATTACCTCCCTCTGTCCTTATTTCTCCTCCCTGTCCTGCTCGCTTGCTTGCGAGAAACGAGAAAGATTGTTTGTCACGCAACAGTGAGCGTACTATACTTGTGCAAGCAAGGGACATTAGCCCTGAATTCTAAAAGTCGGTTGTAGTAGTGGTCTAGTTGTTGTCGTTGCACAGGCATCGTTTTTTATCTGCTCCTTCTCGCTTGCATTCTCCCAGGCCAGAGGTCTCTCCACACCGGAGCTCCAACTGGAAGCAGTGGTTGAACGCATCGATCAATCATGACGGAGGACTTTCCCCAGCGGCGGCGGCCAGTCCCCACGGGCAGAACCAGCTCTACTTCCGGCCTGCCGCCCTCCACTATTATTACTGCTTCAACAACTACGCCAACAACCACCGCCAACGACCACCCTCTCTTCTCCTCGGCCACAACGGCGACTGCTACGGCTTTTGCTTTCGCATCCCCTACTGCTACAGCTCCATTTCCTCTCTCCACCACCACCACCTTTCACCCTCGAACTCGATCCCGGTCGCAGCCCTACGCCCCATCCTCTTCTCTCCCCATCGCTCTTCTGTCCTCCCACCTCTCCTCCACCTTAGACCGTCGGCCAGTCCGTGCCCACGAGGGAGGTTTCGTGCACCCCGCCTCCTTTCTCCGGCCGCGAGGTCTGTCACAACCAATGCCCCCAGCTCAGCCCGAGAGGGCCATCGATCGGGAAGAGCGTCAGGGCCTAGTGAGTCGCCTTCTCTCTCTCTCCCCCCCGTCTTTGCTGCAGCATGAATCATATTCCTCTCCCCGTTCGAGCCTTGGTGCCTCAACCCCTCATTCGCATACCCAAATCTACACCCGTCTTTCTCTGGGCCAATTCGCCCGCGATTATGTCGGCAGCCAGACAGCAGTCTTCTGTTTCATTTCTGTTTCGTAATTTGCACTTCCATGGGTCCTCAATTGCTAGGATGCAGTGGCTAATAGAGTCGTGGATCGGTCTTCCATTGTAGCGTGCCATCCGCAACTTCCTCAAAGTCCGTACCAGTTACGATGTCCTCCCCCTTAGTTTCCGACTCATAATCTTCGACACTTCGTTGTCCGTCAAGGAGAGCTTGAACATCCTCATCCAAAATGGCAGGTGTTTCCCTTGTCCGTCACCAGGCGGGATGACTCCGTCCGCGACTGCGCCATAAATCCGGGCGACGTCACGATGCTGGAAGAATCATTTGCTGACCAGGAGGACGTGATGCTTCGGGATAACAGGTATCGTCTCGGCTCCGTTATGGGATTCCAAGGCCTCGACCTTTGCCGGTCTTTTGACCACCTCCGACTACATCAACGTCATCCAATACTACTTCCAGAACCCGGCTGCGCTGAACCAGATCGACCAATTCCGGCTCGACAGCCTCCGAGGTGCGCAGCTCAATAATAGTTCACGGATCTCCGCAGGACTGACACTTTAGACAGAGGTGGAAAAGGCATTGGGCGTCGCTCCTCCCGAGACGATATCGATCGACCCTGAACGTCCCCTCTATGAGGCCTGTCGGCGCATGCTGGAGTCGCGCGCTCGCCGTATCCCCCTCGTCACATATGACAGTCAAACCGACCGCTCTCTCGTTCTCAGCGTCGTTACTCAGTATCGCATTCTCAAGTTCGTTGCGGTCAATGTCCCAGACACCCAGAAGCTGCGCAAGCCGCTTGGTGAGATCTTGCTGGGCTCATACCAGAATGTCGCAACAGCATCCATGGATACCCCTGTCATTGATGTCATTCATATTTTGGTCGAGCGGAGCATATCCAGTGTGCCGATTGTGAATTCCGAGGGTAGGACAGCCCCTCTGTCCAGACACGGACCTTCAGTGGCTGGGTCTCATGGCTAACTTTTTGGCGTCCTCTAGGAGTGGTCTACAATGTATTCGAAGCTGTTGATGTAATCACCCTGATCAAAGGCGGGGTGTATGATGATCTCAGCCTGACAGTCGGAGAGGCGTTGAAAAAGCGATCTCCAGTAAGTATACCTCATACCCTGCTTGCGGAATGGGTCGGTTAACCGGCGTTTAGGATTTTCCGGGCATCTACACGTGCTCCTTAAATGATGGTCTGGACACCATCTTCGACACTATTCGCAAGTCTCGCGTCCACCGCCTGGTTGTGGTGGATGAGAACTTCCGGCTCAAGGGCGTCCTGACCCTGAGCGACATCCTGCAGTACATCCTCCTTGAGGGCGAGACTGATGAGCTATCATGAACCGATGTTTAACTTCTTGATTTACCCTTTCTACTGGTGCCACAGTGTTGCCAATATACTCACAATTGCATAGGATGGCGTTTCTCGTTTGGGGCTAGTGTCGGTGTCGGAGCCTCTCCCACGGGGTTCGACAGATGGTAGCTTACTTGTTACCGGCTCATGTTTTCCTTTTTTCTCTTCTCTATTCCGTCTCTTTCCAACTCACGATGCAAAAGTAAACCTACATGCTATCATATAGGGTCTACACATGTTCTTCGATCGGTCTCCCCGCCGCGAGCGGCAAGGGGGCCGGGAACCTAGCATTGGCGCTAGGATTGACAACAATAGATTTCATTGCTTGTATGACTCTCTCGCACTCTCATGATCCACTCTGATTCGATGTT